AGATCTGTGGTGTGAGAGAGCTGTCCATGCTCGGAAGCCATCAAACCTGAATGACCCAGAGATGTTTTGTAAAGAAGAATGGTCCAAAATACCTTCAACCAGTAGGTTCCCATTGGAACTTCTGCAAAAGGCGGATCTGCTAAATATTGATTTCATTTCTTTTTTTGTGCAGCCTAAATTTATGCACCTGCCTGATTTTGTTTAAACAATTATTTCACTTTCTGTGAATCCAATAAACTTCATTTCACTTCTCAAACATCACTGTGTCTCCTACATGATGTACTTAACTGACATTTTATATTGTCACAACCAACGATTTATACAGGAAAATGATGACTATTAACAAGGTTGCCCAAACTTTTGCATCCCACTGTATATTCGGTAAATGCCCAAGACATCTTGAGAAATGTAAATCGCCGCTTGATTCATCCATTTGGTTGACTTGTTTTGGCGCGATACAGGAGTTTCCTCACCGGGGTAGCATATGCTAAGGCGCGCAGAGTAGACTGAAACTGAATGGTGAAAAGTGAAACAAATTATTTGAGAGCTACATTTTTAAAAGATAAAATACAGTTTCAAAGCAAATGAATTCATTTTCAAAATATAAAATTCAATTTCAATTTAGTGATGAACATTTACAAACCGATACATTGAATTTCAAATTAGACTAATTCAAATTCAGTTTTAAAAAGCATTTATTCAAGTTACGATTCAGATTCAATCTGAGAAATTCAAATTTCAATTTAACTTCTTCCAATTGTTTCTGATGGCGCTAAGTTCTGCCCATACAAGAGCCCTAGTTCAAAATGTGTTTTGCTCCGGCTTCTTCCATGGATGTTAAATTTAATTGGTGTGTCTGTGTCACACACCTGAATGTGATGGCCTGTGTGTACCTGAATCCTATGTGATAGTTTCAGGTATCCACTCTAAGCTGGGAAAGTGTTAGAAAAACAGAATCATATATTTTCCGCGTTTCCATAACTGGTTCTTTTCATTAAAACCTAATTGAACTTTAAAAAAAAGCCCAACTCCTGTCTGACATGCTGCTCCTGTTCATTTGTCTGTAAAACAATGATCTGTTATGAAAGAGGCTTATATTAGAAAAGTAAATTCTTACTGAATTTCTAAGGCATTAAAATGACATACTACTGCAATACTGAGATTAACCACAACACCAGACCGTATGCAACACTGTCACTGTTTGATCATTTGGATTCATTGCACTTCATAAACAAACCACATTTGCCACCAGACAGCGACACACTGTGGCTAGAGAGGGTATTACATTGAAAGACTTGAAGCACATTGGTGGAGTTGTAACATTATAATGAACCAAAGCAAAACAAACAAACAAAATACCGCTGTAAGTGTTAAAATGCTAAATGGCCTGCATTTGTATAGCGCTTTACTTTAAGTCCCTAAGGACCCCAAAGCACTTTACACTACATTCAGTCATCCACACATTCTCACACTGGTGATGCAGCTACATTGCAGCCACAGCTGCCCTGGGGCCACTGACAGAGGTTAAATTTGATATACTTTTGTGAGCTGGCACCCAACATCTACATGTTCACTTTTTTCTTTGATATGAAAATAACTGCGCTTATTAATTATTATACTGAACGTAGATTACGTACTGAACTCTACCAGTGAGAATGTGCTCTAAAGGTGGGGTGAACCTGAACATGCAGAGCTAACAGAGAGACAGTTGACCCATCACACTCACCTGCACTTCTTTGGACTGTGGAAAGCAGCTCGAGTACAAATCTCTGTGGAACCGGAGTCAAAGCCAGATTTCACTCACAAGTCGACAAAATGTCAGCCAACAATTAGACTTGTGCATCTTTTAGGAACAAGTAATAAATACATTTGGAATTTACAGTTTATCATATTTATTTTTTTACAATTAATTAAAAAAAACATTTCAAACAGGAACAGAAGGTAGAGCTGAGCATTAGAAAATATCACAGAAAAGGATCAAACAAATCAAATCATCTCAAAGACAGATCAGCTGCATGCTTCTAGAACTCTGCACATTTTTAGTCTGATATTAAGTTACAAGACGGCAAAGAAAAAAATAAAGAAATTAAATCTAAGTTCACAACATTTAACCAATCCTCCCAGAAACAGAAGAGGATGAAGGCAAAGCAGAGGAAAAAGTGCATCTGTAAGCTGAAATAACAGAATATCAAAAGGCTTCAGATGAATGTACACAGAGACAAGACTGCATAGGGAGGAAATGTTCTCATAGCTTTGCTCTGAAATGCAATGACATCAATTATTCAAGTGTGTGACTCATGACTAAACAATGAAGTCTTGGTAAGCATGAAACTGAAGTGACCAGAACACAACAGCAGAGTCATTTTTGTTCTTGACGACTTTGCTCGAGCTCCGAGTCGTTCTGCTTCAGGATTAAATTAGCTGTGTTAGCATGTATCATAGTTAAAAAGCACTTATTACACGTTACTAAACTTGTACTTGTTACAGCAGAGAAGTGTGTTTTATGTGAAAAAATAAAATAACAGCATCTAAAAATGTGTCTGCATCGTGGCTAATTAAAGCTAGCTGGTGCGATTAAGTTTGCTACAGCTGATTTCCCCACTTTTGCATGTTTCATGTATTCACATATACAATATAACATCGTAGTATATGAAATACTACATAAAATTTGAGCTACATCTGATTATAACAGAGGAAACCATCGGTTAACCTCGTCCTGAAAAATGCTAACTAGCCCAGCTAGTCGTATATTTCAAGGGGATCTATTAGCTTTTCTGTATTTTATGTGATATATATTTATTTGTTTGAATACCTGCACCCCACCTGACCAATCAGACAAGAGTAGGCTGTTGGGGAGGGGGTCTGCATAAAGATTGTGAACCATGCATAGCTACTGTAGCGAGAATCAAAGAACGAAAATATGAAGCTAGCGAATAACATGTTTTACAGTGAACTGTAGTTAGCATTGAAAATAAGGAGCTGCGTTAGTGCCATGCGGATATCTTCTCTATTTTTTCAGAGATTTATTTTGTTGATATTTTCTCGTTGTTACAACACTAGTTTAGGGAAAACTGGTTTTAAACATTCATCTGTATTAAGAGATTAAGTCAAAAATCCTCCCGAGGCTGATCTTTACTGTGATAGCACTGAGAATGGAGCATTCATACAGATGTTACAGTAAAGAAAAGTAAAGAAGAAATTGCCATCAGTTCATAGGTAAGATAACTAAGCTAAATGACCACTCAGCAGACTCTCCAGTAGCCTTAAAGCTAGTGAGAAAAACTCGGTTTACATACTTAAGTTAAAATCATTTAAGCCAAACATTTTCTGCACAAAATCCAGCATAAATACAAACCAGCAGGCAATAATTAGTGCAAATGACACAAGGAGCATTATATGGATCATAAAACTCTTATAATGCAATTTTTGTTAAATAAAATACTCAATATTGCATTAAAATTGCTTAAATTAGCTTAAAGACTCGAAGACGTTTTGGACATTTAGTGACTTTTTAAAATGTTATATTGAACTGCAAATTAAATGAAATGCCCTTAAATGTCCTGAAGTGAGAAAGCTCACCTTATATATAAAATAATGAATCAAAACAAACTAATTAACATTTTTGATAATTCTAGAAAGACACAGCGCTACCTACCCCTTGTCTTTTATGCTAGTAGTGTTAGCTGCTTGTTAATAAGGTAGAAACTGCTTGTTTCTACCTTATTAACCTTATTAGTGTAAACTATATGAAAGTACTATTTGTAATCTTCTACCTTAGCTATACCTGCACTTTATATTTTCAAGATTAGCTAAAAAACCTAAAGCCTCACATAATTCTGAATCAATTCTGATTTGCGGTAGTACCATCAGCAAGAACCGTTTTTTATGGAAGACTTAAATTGTTTAATTGGAGGGTGTTAGTCTGCAAACAGCAACAATACGTGCACTTTATGTGAAACACAGTTTTACACCAGTGTAAGCAGCGGTGTACGTTTAGGCTCAGCCACACTAACTAACTGTTTTGGTGGAAACTGCCAGACTCACCTGCTCTTCGATAACACAGAGCCAATGATTTCACTGGATTAATTTTTTCGAGCCATGCTCAATTTTTATGATTCAAATCAGCTGATCAGACCAATCAGAACTCTGCTTTTGGCATCAAGCGTTTGTAGCTCAAAGCGTGCACTGTTACTGAATACACAAATAGTAAAATAAAACTGTTGTACATCAGACGCACAGCTACATGCTGCTCTGGGACCATCAGCTCTGTTAAATGATTTCTCTGCACCCTGAGATGAGGTCCACACTCTGCCAACAAGAGCTCAAACTGCCCCACTGACATCCTGAAATATCCACGGTCGTGATAAAGTCCTGGATCAGGCCAGCACATCCCCCCTGCTGTTGTCTTCTCCTGAGAAGTTTCCCTTTCTTGTTTAGAAGCATCAGGACCAGCTCATCGTGGCTACATGTCCACTTCATTTTGTTCACGGTGCATTTTTTCCCCAACACGTTACAGACACTGTTAAACTACAGGGATATGGATACAGCGTAATAACATGGGAATGGTTGGTGATACTAAAGTCCTGTTTGTGGCACATTAGTATATGTGAGGGGGCAAACTCCTCCAGATGGGCGGTGACCATGGTGGCCATTTAGAAGTCGGCCATCTTGGATACAACTTTTGGTGTTGCTATCAGTGTGAAGAGTGGGAGAAGAGGGTTGCACTGACAATCCAACACAATGGGCAGCACACTGAACACATTTTATAAGTGGTCAGAAACTTGTAAATAACTCATGAAAGAATAAAGTTACGTTGAAACCAAGCACACCATTGTTTTTCTTGTGACATTACCAATAAGTTTGATGTGTCACATGACCCTCTTCCTATTGAAAAAACAAACGTTGTATCCAAGATGGCCGACTTCTAAATGGCCACCATGGTCACCACCCATCTTGAGGAGTTTGCCCCCTCACATATACTAATGTGCCACAAACAGGACTTTAATATCACCAACCATTCCCATGTTATCACGCTGTATCCATAGAAACGGCCCACCCTGTATAAGTTTGGATTTTGTGTCATGTTTTTGCCACGAGCTCAGTGTGTCACGGACTGAAGAAACAAATACTGCAGATAAAATATCAGTTAGCATGTCCATATAAACCGAGTGGGGCTTTTACGTTGGAGAAAAATCAAATGCTGATATCACAGTAAAGACCCTCCTCCTATAATACTCTCATAATATTTACACTACGTGAGGATTACAAAAAGATTACTGGAAATGGCAGGACTCACAAAGTGTGTAAAAAACCTACGAAGTGACCTTTTGGGTTAAGTTAGAAGTAAACTCATCTGCAGGCAGTATCTTCTTCAATAAACGGGTTCAGTGAGGTGTGTAAGCATCATGTATGTAATCACACACAGGCACAGCGGCCTCCTGCTGCCTGAACAAGAAACCAGAACACAAACACACAAGCAGAGACGGTGTCGCTGGACCTGCGCACGACTGATATTTATGACCCAGTTTGCTAAATTTTGGATTTTATCTGCTTTTTAACTTCAGGAAGAAATGATTTTGGACCCCTCAAAACTGGCTGGATGTCCTGGAAAATATTAATATGCACTTTTTGATCAGAGGACATTTTTGGTGGTCTGTCACTCACTCGGACGCTCTCCACCTCGCAGTTATAGCAGGGGTGGGAAACTCCAGGCCTCGAGGGCCGGTGTCCTGCAGGTTATGTGTCCTTGATCCAACACAGCTGATCTAAGTGGTTAAATGACCTCATCATGTCTTGAAGTTCTCCAGAGGCCTATCAATGAACTAATCATGTGATTCAGGTGTGTTGGCCCAGGGTTAGATCTAAAACCCGCAGGACGCCGGCCCCTGAGGCCTGGAGTTCCTCACCCCTGAGTTAAAGGCAATCACTGAGATTGCTTGAAAACCACCAGAATTATCCTCTAAGGTCAACATGAGCATCAAAATTTGGGCAACTAAGAAGCATCCAGTGATCACGCGCCAATGACCTCACAGGGATGTGTGTACAGCAGCACATGTATGAGCTGGTCGGACTCCAGTGTGTGTGTTAACAGCATGAAATATTTATAGAGCGCTCTTTGTGGTTCAGTAGTGAGGATGAGGTTTGCATGCGTCGGCTCATCTTCATGCAGGACTCAGATTTGTGTGTTGATGCAGTCAGCGGTCTCCTCCAGCAGTCTGGCTGCAGTTCAGCTTCCTGAAGCCGGGCAGCGTGACGCGTCCGTTGGTGTAGATGTCGCGGTCGGAGCCCTGGTTCATGCGCTTAACCAGGTTCTTCTCGTACAGCAGCGGGTGGTAGGCGCCCAGCGTGCAGGCGGCGTCGTAGAAACGCTGGTAGTAATGGCAGAGCTCCGTCTTCCTCCGGGACGGCAGGAACTCGTACACGTGCACCACCTCGCACAGCGACATCATCAGGACGGTGCCTGGACAGGAAGCAGAGGGCATGAGGACACTTTGCAGAGCTTTTCAGACAGTTTGGTGCTTCCTCTGTTGTGCTTATATAAATCAAATAAAATCGAATAACCAGAACCACAGAAGGTCACAGGAGGACATGAAACCTGACACAGAATATTCCCAACTGAGTGAAAAGGATTTCTTTTGAAATCCTGGAAACAAAGACGTCTTTCAGACTAAATATCATTTCTGCCCATGTGGCTCAGCGCTGGTTAGGACTGATCCTCACTTTGGAGCAACATCTACAAACATGAAGCCTTCATGTGTTCTTCATCCAGCCCACAGCTTTGTCCTCAGTTGTGTAACGAACAGCACAGCTGCCTACGCACTGTAGGTCCGCCAACATGTTCACGTCCTCCACGGCCCGCACTCATGCTGCAGAAACAACCTTCTCATTACATATAATCACTTCTGTGTAACAGATCTACTTCCTGTCTGGTGATCCTGGAGGAGAGATGTTTATAATGAACTGAGGCTCTAATATCAGACACCAAAGGAGGCGGAGCTCCAGTTACAAATCAGATCCTGCATTTGTGAAACTCGTGACATGAACGGAAGACGTTGGAGGAGAGAAATATGAAAATCAGGAGTCGTGCTCGGCTACAAAGAAACCAAACTGAGACTGAGGGGAAGGACGAGGAGTAAAAAGACTCCCGGCAGGTACGGCGGAACTCACTCAAAACACGCGAGGAACAGACTTTCAAAATAAAACAGGAAGACAACTGACAGAAGACACAGAGGAGTTTGTATATATGCGTTCAACCTTAAAGGGACGTTTCACCCCTAAAACCAAACTAGATGTTTTTGCTGCAGCCTGCGGAGTCGTTTCCATAAATTTAAAGTACCAAAAAAAGAAGCCAGGAAAAAACAAACGTGTGTCGGTTCGTCACATGACGCTCTAACGACAGCGTCATGAAGAGGGCAAAGTTTCCTGAGGCAGATTTCAGTCTTTCTTCGTTCCGTGTTATTATGCTCGCTGTTCTCCGCCCACAGCGCACGGCGGCGATGTCACATCGCTGGGCGCCTCATTATCGCTCCTGCAGAGTTCGCCTGGTGCGCAGACTCTGAGGTGAAGCTGAAGGCTGAGACGGGTGGTGCAGAGAGATCAAAGGAGTGAGGCGGATGATGCCTCATCGATCAGCGGATCGGCCTGGACCAATGAGCAGCTGTCACACAAATGTTCTTTCAGAAGATCGTGATTGGACCAGGAGACATTTACAGAAAACAAACAACACATGATCGATGCAGCCAATCAGGTCGCAGACACAAACATCTGATATCTAAACGCACACAGGACTTGAACATTAGTGACCTCTGAGTTTATATTTTAACGAGTATTCAGTACATGTTTTGTTTCAGATTTCTGCCCCACGTGTGTTATGAAGGCAGTTTGTAGCATAAACAGGAAGTGAGAGAAAACCATACCGAGCATGCCGGAGGAGGGCGGGTTCTTCTGGATGGGCTCGGCCATGTTGTCCTGTATTCGCTGCCAGATCTGCCACTCAAAGCGAGGATGCAGGATGTAGAAGGGCTGCAGAGGGTGGAGCCTCCTGTACCTCTGGTACTGGGCGAAGATGGGGTAATCAGTCCTGTTGAACCACTGCGGGGGGGGGAGGGGCATACAGGTATGAGTTTTAACTGACACCTCAAAATACATTCAGTATCAGCACCAATCCTGCTGCTTCAGTCTTTGTTTTACTGATGCTTCCCTTTGACTGAGTTATCAGGGAGACGCTCTGTGCAGGCTGCAGAAACAGGACGTTAACTAGTTAGTGACCGAAGGATGTTTTAGAACAGAAAGTGAGCAACCATAACTGAAAACAGGGGAACAAAGACGTGAGAGGAACCGATAAACTCCATAAATACAAACATCACAAAAATACTGAAAACAGCAGCTCAAATAAACCAGAAACTTAAAAGCTCAGACCCTGAGAATCTCACTGGGATCATGACTTTTCTACCACATAAAGGCTGCAGAGATAATGTAGGGGGCGGCGGCTTCGGAGAGGAAAAGAAGGGCCAGGGCCCCCCGCTGTTTGGAGTGTCCTTCATGTGCAAATCTTTCAGTCCCACTGCTGGACTGAGGCCTAAATGTCAGAGTTGTCCTTTATGCAGCTTCCAGTAACGAAAGAGTCTCCATTTAAAGGGACAACAGACAAGATGCATTCAGAGCAGACCAGCTGGGCTGCATAAAGGAGCAGCACAAGATAAATGACGTCTATTGTCCACTGGGTTTTAATCGTGCCAGGTTACTCGAGTGGAGTCCAGGAATAAAAACAAAGAGCAGAAGAAATCCTGTGTAGTGGTAGACGTGTCCTCTCAGGATAAACACATGAATTATGCATCAGAGAAACGGCTTCTGAAGCTGGAGAACCAGCAGTTGTTCCTGCTGGTAACTGGATTTACTGACGACTCGTTCAGTTTCCCTGCAGCGCAGAGTCAGACCGGCTCCACGCTCTGTGCATCCACGAGGGGAACACTTCATCATGTCAACCTTTAAGCTCCTGAGAAAAGCCTGCAGACCAGGACCACCCGACACAGGAACAGTTTCTTTCCCCTCGCCATCTCCCTCCTAAACAGCTGACCTGTCACACTGCTCCCACTGCCAGACTGCAGCTGCACCTTATGTACATTCTGTAGTATTCATTCCACCTCATTTCTGTATTCTATGTATATAAGTTTAGATGAGTTATTTATAGTTGGTTTACACAGCTTTGTGTATGCATGTGTAATGTATAAATAGACACGTGTGTGTGTGTGATTTACATTGCTGTGCTTGAGAGCCTCCATCTACCCAAACCAAATGCCTTGTATGTGTCTGCACATATACTTGGCCAATGAGCACGATTCTGATTCTGAAAAGAAGCCAGTGCGCAAGAGCCACAACCTGCAGTCCCTCAAGTGTCCACTAGAGGTCCCAGCAGTGAGCCAGTCCCCACAGACTCGTGTTAAAATGTTTGGCTTTGCCCTGGAGCGAATCTTCCCGTCATAAAGCTTTACATTTTATTTATTAGGGGCGTGGCCTATTAGACTCAAATACAGATGCAGGTATCGACTGTGTGCACAGCAAAGTTATGTTGTATGTTTCACTGTTTTTGCACAAACGTGACATTTCCCAAACAGAATTCTTGCAGTCAGACACACCATCATGTTTACCTGTGCTCGTCCATGTTAGTCTAAAATCCACAAATGTCCAAAGAAACCACAAACTGATTAATACAAGCGTGTGCATGAATATGTGCACCCGGCGGAGCCGTAGGAGGAAAACTTGGATAAATGTGTCTCTTATTTGACAAAAATTCTACACTTAATTTGAACAATTTAACAAAAGTTATTAAACGCACGCTGGTTGTGACAGGGCTTCTAGCTTAAATCCAAACGCATCACCTTTGTGAGATCTGCAGAGAAGGGGGCGGGGTCCCAGGCCACCAGAACACCTGAGCTGTACAGAGAACTGGACAGGAAGCGGTGGTCATCAGACGCCATCACCTGTAAAGATTCAGAGAAAAAGCACACTGACACACGTCGCTGAGCGAGCCGCGTCTCTCAAGCTTTAATAAATAAAACATGACTTTTAAAACTCTTTAAAAATGAAAAGCTGTGAAAACCGAGCAGCTAAATTCTCTGGTTCTACTGATTAATCCAAATCCACTCAGTCGAGTTTTGACTTTGCCATATTCAGAAGCATTCTGCAGATCCTCACAGCGAGGTGTTCTCACATAAAAGCATCTAAAAACAGCCACAGGCAGCTGCTCTGCACTGAAACGCCCACAGCCCATCTGCAAACTCGACCTCTTCAGCGCGACCATCGCCTGCAGCGTCGTTACAAACTCGACTTTACTCCAAACTGTGGCGGAGAGCCGAACGCTCTCACACACTAAACAAAGTGATTTAGATAACAAAGCTGCACGTGTTGTATGGAAAAGTTATTAAAAAATAAAAACAATTAACATTATTTCTGTCACATTGTTGTGTTGATATTAGACACCCAGGTTTCTAACAATGAGGCCAAAATCAGCCTAAACGCTTCGTTTCACACAGTTTTTCTCCTCTTGGATCTCTGTGATGTCACAGGGGGGGGATCTCAATCAGATCTACTGTTGAAATATTTTGCTTATGAGGGGCAACCAATCAGAAGAACACAAGTTAATAAGTGTGACAGAGAAAATTATCGTATAAAACTGGCCGCAGATTAAAAATCAACGCGCAGACGATCTTTGGATTCTCGTCTTATTATCACCACGTCTGTCTCGTTTGCAGTCAAGCACTTCCTCTCAGCTCAGCTGTCACCGCCTGTGTCTGTGCCCACCTGTGAGTTGATGAGGCGGATGGTGGTTTTGGACCCGACGTCCTTCTCGTACCCGGTGGTGGGCGCAGCGTTGAAGCGCAGCACAGCTTCATGTGAGTCTGAAAAACGAGAAAACTACTTCGGTTAAGAAGAAGTGAAAGTTTGTGCTTCGCTGAAGTGACGCGTTTTCTGTTCATCAACCAAGAACACACACACACACACACACACACACACACACACACACACACACACACACACACACACACAC